ATTCCAATTTTGTCATTGCGTTTATAGTGATATTGAAAATTGAATATTATTCCGGTGTGGGATTTTTTTCGGACTAATCGTCCCTTAAGGTTCTCATTCGAGCGAATAGCCTCTAGATTCGAGAGAAGTAGTATATCACCCTCTACTTTCACTTTTATGCTTGCACACTTTTGCATTTTACACTTGATTCTAGTCTCTAAAGTTTCATTCATCTACATGTAAGTCTAGGCATGTCACTACACGCATAAAGTGGATATCGAAATCATAAGCTGCTTCATTAAACTAAACGTGGATTCATCGAGGTCACAGGACTTCTTGCATAAAGTAATTCATAACTCCAATGAAATATCCCTTCAGCCACAAATATCTTCTACGTATTTCCTTCAACTCAAATGAAAGATTCAATGATTAATATTTATTAAAGGATCCCTATGAACCAATTTTTTTAATATATACATTCTCATCTATACTTTCTTCATATGAATTTTCTCGTTGATTTTCAGTTTATTCGCGTTTACATTTAAAAATTTTTTAAATATATACAAATTAACGGGTTTTGGATGACCCTCCTCACATTTTATTGCTGAGTTAACGATTATCTTATGCGATAGCATGTAGTTAAAAAAATATTGGATTGATTTTACTTTGGTCCGTTGTTATTTGGATTGACTCTGGTCTCGAGACAAAACCCCTGGTTTATGCGAGAAAATGCTAATATCCCGTCCTTCATTCCTCTTGACACAGATATCATCAGAGCTGGATCCCATCCCTACAGCAGATTTTTTTATTATTATTTCTTTCTAAATAATATTATATACCTCCTACCTACCTACTTCTCATTTTATCCACGTTCAGGTGTCTGCGAAAACATCGCTCATGGTGGTATAACTCGAGGTGCAAGACGTATCTGCGCCAAGTTAGAGGAATTGCATCTGATCGAGCTTGCGCAAAAATTGCGGCCAGACTACCCAATCGTGGTGACAGGCCATAGTTTGGGCGCCGGTATCGCCACTATTCTCTCAATCTTGCTGCGTTCCAAGTATCCGAATCTAACCTGCTTGGCCTTTAGCCCCCCTCTTTCTTTAGTCAAGTAAGCAGAGACGATCTAGTCTGGTGTTTGCATTTTCTTCCTTAGTTAGTTATTTCTTGATTCCTCCTGGTTCTTTTAGCCTTCCGTTTTTTTGCTTATCT